AGTATCAGCCAAAATTCAGTGGAGTAATACGGCTGTTAAGTGACTTCTCCTGAGCCGAAGCAAACAGACATCTATTCAGCCCGTAGAGAGCAACGCAGAAGAGCCAAGCAACGATTCCCCACAAACCCATCGTGGTGAACCAGCCTGTGTTTGGGGTTGCTTTCAGGAGCGTGGGTGACACAAAGGCGATTGAGCCACTGAATAGCTGTTCTGCCCTGGCTTCCTAGAGATGCCTCATCCGTGGAGCTTCCTAGCCTGCGTGCAGAGAGCTCACCCAGGAGGCCCTCTTCTCCAGTCTGCTGCTTATAGAACCTTGGAGACGCTCTGTGAGTGGAGCGACTCTGGTGAGGTTCCCGAGCCCCCTATCTCTTTGATTCTTATGAGTCTCCCTCCTTCTTCCAGAAGGGAAAGTTTCAATTCAGAGGATAAATGCTGTCTATGTAACAGTACAAAATGTAGTGGCTGCAGTGGCAGCCTGTGCCTCCGACTCCCTGGAAGCCAGCTGCATGTCTGAGCCTTGTTTGTACATATGAACTGAGAGGGTTGGGCTAGATTTGGGTTCCTGTTCATTCTGATTCTGTTCACTGTAACATGGTGTCAGAAAATGTCCCCCTCTTTTTATTTGGAGGACATGTGTGTTCACAGGAGTTGACAGAGCAGCTAAATGAATACACTAGGACCATCAAGCAATCCCTAAACACACTGCTTTGTGACCCATCGTGCTCCTCTGCACTTCGACCTACTAATTATTACTCTAATAATTACTCTAATTATTTTAAACAAATCCTTAATTTGTTTGCATCAATCCTCTGCCATCTGTGTAGCTAGCACCTATGAGTCCTGGAAGCAGTAGTTAAGAAGTCATCAGAAAGATTGCATATGCATTTCCTCAATTTCTCCCATAGTAATTTCTTGTAAAACTATGGTGAACTGTGACACAATAGACCAAGATTACTCGAATGCTCAGTTTTACTTGAACGTGTGTGTGTGTGTGTGGTGGGGGTGTATGTTCTTATGTGTTTCTGTGATCACAGTGTAGCTGCCAGTGAGAACAGTGATTGGCTTGAGACTTTTAATGGGCTCTCCTCAAAGCCTGTTTGTCCCTTTTCCCTTATTTCTTGAGCTTCATAACTGTTGTGGAGAACCATAATTATAAATGTCTTGTGTATACCCCAACACATTTCTGATTTGACTTCAGTGAGGCTGAAGGACATCCTTTCAAAACTCTTATCTTCTCTGGTAAGACTGTTTCTCATATAATTTGTTTTTACAATTTTCTAAAGAAATTAAAGACCCACGTACCATTAATCCCAGCAATCAGGAGACAGAGGCAGGCGAGTATCTGAATTCGAGGCCAGCCTGGTCTACAGAGCAAGTTCCAGGACAGGCTCTAAAACTACAGAGAAACCCTGTCTTGTGGGGGAAAAGACCCGTTTCTTTAGATTTAGTGTGTGTCTGAAGAATTCCAAAGTGACGGAGGCAGGGGGATGACTGAGCGGGCACAAACACTTACTCATAAGTGTAAGAGTATGAATATAGACACCATAATGCACCCGGAATGACAGGCATGTGGCTACCTATGACCTCAGCATTTGGGGGAGAAATAGGCACACCCCAGAATTCGCTGAGAACTCAGGTTTAGTAAGAGACCCTGTCTCAAGGCAATAGAGTAGATAACACTGCAGGAAGACACTTGTCCTTCACTTGTGCTCAAGTGCGTATGACCCCATGCACCATGTATATACACACACACCAGTGATGAAAGGTAACTCAAGATTATAAACATATACATACCCTCACCATTATAGCCATAGGAATAGAAATATGTCAAATCCAAGTGTGTGTGACCCCATGCACCATGTATCTACACACACACCAGTGATGAAAAGTAACTCAAGATTATAAACATATACATACCCTCACCATTATAGTCATAGAAATAGAAATATGTCAAATCCAAGAGAAAAAGATGCACTGAAGAGCATTTGGGAAGCTGGTCACAGTGGCACATGCTTGTCATCTTCCCTCTTAGGGAGCTGAGACAATGAAATCTTTAGTTTGAGTCTAGCCTGGGCTGTATTTCCAGTCTCTTTCTCAAAAGCATCTGGGAATATAGGCAAAATAAAATTTAGATAGATTAATGATCTAATGTTAATTTAACAACTTTTGTCTTTATAAACGATTAATATATTTGTGATTATTGGAGATAAGCTGGGTTATGCAAGAGACTTTCTATTGAATGCATGGTACTCAGAAGCTGCAAGCAGAAAATGTGCAGGTTTGACTATATAAATATTTTTAAAAATTGTAATAAAAGTTCAATAAATTGTTTGCAAGAAAACTGAGTAAAAAGCATACTTACATGTATATATGTGTCACACATACTCTTTTGTAAGTTAATTTTTCTAGGGTGTAGACAAATATATGTATTTCTGATAAGTTATTATTTCTAATATGCAAAGAGATGATGTAATTCCACAAGAAAATGCAAACTAAATAGCAAACACTTCACAGAAGAATACACATTACCAACCACATACAAGTAGCCATTTGCCTTCAGTAAGACACAAGAAAGCAGAAATTAAAACAAAAACTGAAATTTAAAAACTCATCAAGTAGACAAAATAAACCAGTACTCAGCGTTATATATGTAAAGGGGGGCGCATGAAAGGCTCTACCATGACACTCTGCCTACCACAAGTCCAAAGGCAGCAGAGCCACACAACTATAGACTGAAACTAGGAGTCAAATAACTTCTTCCTCTTTGTAGGTTGATTTTCCTCAGCTATTTTGTCTTGTAGGAAAGTTGACTAATACATGTAGTCATTTAAAAAATTAAAAAGCATTACACTGTACAAATACATAAACAGTGAGAGTTCTGACATTCAGCTCTTGTCTACTTCAAATTTGTAACCATCTTAAACAAGCAAGTTTTCCATTTTCCAGATTTTTTGGCACACACACATATGTACCTCTTCTCAACCCTCTACCTCCTCTCCACTAAACCATGCTATATATAATATGGTCCTAGATATTTTCATATTCAGATTTTTGCTGTCTTCTACTATGTCATTGTAAACTTAATGACTTCATTATATGCCATTGCAGAACTATGTCATAGCTGGCATTGTTAAAAAAAACACATTTCTTTATTGATAAATATTTTTGGTTGATTATGTGATAGTCTTCTACTAAATTAAGCTGTAATGAATATCCTAGCTCCTATGTTCTTGTACTCTGGTTTTCCTGTGGTACAGATTTCCAACAGTGAAACCACTGTATCAAAGAGTAGGTATGTTTTCAAACTTAAGATATACTGGCAAAATGTTCTCAGCAAAAAGTTGTATTAAGTTGTATCACCAGCAAACATGCCTGAAAATATACCTCTTTTAAAGTTTCTACCTCCAAATAATTACATGGGTGACAGCCAAGCCTTTAATACCCGGCCCTATGGGGACATTTAAGGTACAACCCAAAACCAGTTACAATCCTTTTATTATGTTGATAAACAAAAGAAATTTGAAATGTGAAATAACCCAGTTACAGACCAAAGAGAAAAATTTTGGTTAAAATTTTACTGCAACAGATCTTGATGCTCATGGCTGAAATTAAATAAACAGGGGGAAAAATCTCTTTTTTGTTATTGTGTTAATTGTTATCTAGAATATTTAGTTCAATGATTTCTCTCTGGTTATTTAATTCTGTGTGCTTAACTGATAGTGTTTACAGGTGTTTAGTGAAAACTATTGTATAAATACTCCGAATGTGACTTGCCCACTGTGGTGTCTCCCCAGCCAGCTGACTGTGAGTGGGAAATTAGTGAAGGAGACAGAGATCCGAGAGTGGTGCCCACTTCCCTATCTCCACAGGCAACCTTATTTCATATTGATAAAGTTTGCCATCTCTTCTTTTGTTCTTTCTGATTGTTCATTGTTGCTCCTGTTTTAATGAGAAGTTGAAAGGAGCCAAACCCACTTGCTTCATTCCTTCTATTAATTTAATTTCAAAGGAGAAATTCTTCAGCCCAAATAAATAAGTGCACATGGATGCAGCAAGAAACCCTGATTTGACATGTCCAATCAATTGCTACTACACGTCAAGATTGGTTCTTAAGAAATGTTTGTGCATGCGAAGAGAGAGAGGGAGGGAGGGAGGGAAGGAGAGAGAGAGAGAGAGAGAGAGAGAGAGAGAGAGAGAGAGAGAGAGATAGACAGAGAGACAGAGAGACAGAGACAGAGAGAGATGTGTTACTAGATAGCAATTAGTTGAGGAGTAGAATGAGTCTCACATATCTGCTTACAAAGCCTTGCTTCACTTCATATTAATATGTGCCCACAGGTCTACTCTAAATCAGCATGTACTGTTGAACATTATCAAAGTTACACACAACAACGAAGAAAACAGAATCGCTCAGGATTTGAAATGCACCTAACAAACTCAGACCCTTGCAAAAATAACTTTCTTACTCAGAAAGGAACTGAGGATTGTGCAGCACACAATGAGTCATCTTTGGATGGGTACATTAGAACCTTCAGGGGCATTTCCTAGCCTTGATTGGATTGTTAGGATGTTACTAGCTCTCACAGGGAAAGAATAAGGTAGCTGGTGTAGACACCATCTTGTTGCTGAAATCACACAGTGAAGACCTTGGAGTTGCTGCTGCAGTAGTTCTTTGTGCTGCCCCTGCCCCTGCCCCTGCCCCTGCCCCCGCCCCCGCCCCCACCCCCACCCCCACCCCAGCTCCCACCCCCCCATCTCGACCCAGAGTTGCTTTGCTTCCCCAGAACAACCCGGATTTACTTAATGCTAATGTTCTCTGGTTTAACTGTTTACCTAGGACTTGAATGTTAAGTATTAGTGTGGGTAACTCCCTTTTTCTTACCTCATAGCCTTGTATTAACTTATTTTGCAAGAAGAAAAATCTTTCCTTCCCCATGATTCTACTTTTTTAAAAAAACTGACAAACACAGCTTGTCTTTGTCTTTGCTCTTTTTTTCCAGGAGAATTTAGAGCTACCAGTGGATGATTCCGAAGTGATGGAGTCTGCAGCAGCATCCAAAGTGATTAAATACGAGTATCATGTCTTATACTCCTGCAGCTACCAAGTGCCCGTTCTTTACTTTAGGGCAAGCTTTTTAGGTAAGACCTTGTCTAAAGCTGAAATCAAATTCATAAAATTTGCATACAAGACAGGAAACATCCTTGGAAAATCATTCTTGAAAGGGAAAAAATAGAGTTAAAAAAAAAAACTGTGGGTGAGGTAAGGTTTTACCAGTGACATTTCTCGTGCTTCAGAAAGAAAAATCAAGACTTCGTAGTGAATGACATCATCCCCACCTTAAATCTGATCCTCACTCTTTTTGGCCTCTTGCCTGGAGTTGACTAAGCCCCCTGGCCTTCTTGACTTTAAACAAGCAGGAACAACTTAAAGCTGCAATGTTTATTTACTTCTGACTTTGCAGTAAAACTTTCCTTCCATTTCAAGTGATGCGGTTAACTGAGAGGCACCCAGGCTCCCTACTCAAGAAGTGTGTGTTAGTTGGCTTAAGGGGTGTTTAAAAGCGCCAGCCCTTCCTTTAGGCATCTCTACATCTCGGAAGCCTTAGTGTCTTGCAGTGCTGTTACTCAACTCATTCTCCTGCCAAGAAAGTGAACACTCTGTCTCCTTAGAGGCCCCTGCTCTGCTAACAAAGCTTATTCAGTGGCAGCTGCCTGGTGTCCTCGCCTTGCACTCAGGGGGACTTATACTGAATGGGCACTGGCTGGGCTGGGTCAGGATGCTTGTCCTGGCCTGGAGACTACCTCGAGCTCCTGCCCAGCCCACCTCTTACCCGTGCTGCCTTTGACTTTCTCCGCCACACTTTGGAGGAGACGTCGGGGTAGCTAAGACATTAGCCAATGATATTTTATTTTTAATTAAAAAGTAGCTTAAGCTGCTTTGAATGTGAATTTGGTGGTTTTAATCACTCGCTGCCTTATATTGTTTAATGGTCTCTAGTTTTGAAGTGCTGGCTGTTTAACAAGCACTTAGGATTTAGAACAAGAGCAAATTCTTAGAGACTCCCTGGTGAGACGATTTTAATCTGAGGTGCAGTTCCTGAGAACTGACAATTTGGGATAAATTTTCACCCAGGGACTTGAGGACACTGATGGTTCCCTGACTCTCACACCCTTGAGGCAGATTCGTCTGTATGATTATTACTGACCTTTAAAACACGCCTTATTGTAATTCTATTTGATTTGGAGTCCAGAGGTTAAAAAGGACTCCTGTCTGTTGCTGTGCTCTCTCCTGTGTCTGTTATGTGGGGTGGAGGTGGTGGGGAATACCTTTCTCCATCCTAGTTTGCAGTTCTCGCTCTACCTAGCACCTTCTACATTCAAAGGCAAGTGAGGGCTGCAGGCAGAGGCCACAGGGGGTGGCTCTGGTTCCTCCAGTGTAGTCAGTATTCACCAGAGATGAGTTCCCAGAGACAAAACAAGTCCTTTAGCTTGTCAGCATCAGGGATGGGAGGTGTTGAAACATGGCTGCTGCTGGTTGGAAGTGGGTCTTGCTGAGGCTGGCGGATGAGCTCACACTGGAGCTGTGCTCTGGCGTGCCAACAGCTCCCCTCGCAGCACAGCACAGTGATTGTTCCTGCAAGTCCAATTATATGTTAATGACATTAGTGTGCTGCCTGCATGCCTTTCTGCATGATGCTTTTAGCTCTTAAAACATACATTCACAAGTAGCATTCGTGGTTCTACTTATAGAATTTTAAGATGCCCTTCATTTGTGGCTTATAAAGGAAACCAAAGAGGTCATTTATTATGTGGAAATGTTTTCCTTACCTCTCATTCTGTCTTGCATAGAATTGGTTATTTAGTTCTTTTTATTCCAGAATTCATTTAGCATTTGTTTAGACATATTAAAATATAAATTATTTTTATAAGGCGTATTGGAATGTTTTCTTGTGGAGAAAAATGAAAAATGTTTCTTTCCTTTATCATTCTTGTACTTGTAATTTTTTGCTTTTACCTAACTTAAACTCAGAGCATTCTAAAAATATATCATTTTTTACTTATGAGTCATAATTTTTCATTTATTCCCCCCAGTCCAGCCCTTTTCCTCTCCTGTTAGCCTGACTGTTTGTGTGTTAACAAATTCTGATGGTGTGGAATGTATTCCTAATGTCTTCCTTGTTCCAGGCCCAGGTTTTTCTTTGTCTCTTCTAAGAAAATCCGACCTAGAAACAGAATGATTGTAAAACTTCTTGCCCAAGGGTCTTTTCTTTCTTTCCTTTTTTTTTTCTTTTTTTGGATGTCGCAATAATAGTTCATTTGTCTTGTTTGTGACTGAAGCCAGAGTTTCTTTTGTGTCTGTTAGTAAAAATCAATTTCTCTGCTTAACTTTGAATTTTCTTCCAAAAAGCAAAGCGAGGAGATGGTAGTTCCCACTGAAACCAATGTTGCCCCTTATATCAACAGGGTGAGAGTTCTTCTGGATCTTTTTTGTTTCTTCAAATGCAAATCCACTCACTGTACTCTGAGTTCCCTTTATTCCTCTGCATGATGCAATGTCTGCCAGGTCAACTGCTGCCTGAGACTCATGCTGACTGTCCTTGTTACTCCCATATCCTGTACCATTCACCCCATCGTATCATCTCATCACCTCACAAGCTGCAGTATAATCAAGTGTCTGCTTGTTTGCCCCCTGCTAGATGATCCTCAACATGTAAAGAGCTGTAAAGGATATTAATGTTGATTACCTACCAAGTGAGAAGCATTGTCTTAGGGTCTGTGCCTGGTATTTACATGACATTTTGACATACACATACCCCACTTATCTTGCTAGTTTTGTTACTCACAATGTCAACTGTAGGGAAGCATAAACAAATGCTCACTGAACGAATCAATAGTGAAGAATCTCTAAGCGTTTCTAAATAGAGCTAACAGGCTAAAATATTGTGATTGTAGTACTGTGCTACTGCTATGACAGGCCATAAGGAAGAAACGATGAGGCCTAGGGTCCAAGTCATTTATCCATCTTTACAGTTTCATCTGTTGTTCTTACAGACTGTAGAAATAGTACTAGTACACTAAGACAAACACAACATCCCAAGGACCCAAAGCCTGAATCCAGCCTAGCTGAGCAGCCGTGCTTTCTCCGTAAACACGTTTCTTCATTTGATTCTTGAAGGCAGACAGCCAAGTTCAGATAGCCTCTTACTTCTAGATGTCTCTCATGTTAATCGGGCCCATAGGAACATGGTTCCTCCTCCTCTTCTTATAGTTTCTCTCCTACTCCTACAATGACTACTACTATTCTTGTTACTACACTACTATTGAGACTGGGTCTCAATCTGTATCCAGGCTCTCCTCAAACTCACAATCCTCCTGCCTCAGCCTCCCAAAAGCTTGCATATGTGTGAGTAGCACCATGCCTACCCAGGAGCATGGTTCTCAAAGGGACACCATGGACTGAAGAGAAGTGAGTCCTTCTCGGTGTTCTGTTTCTCTAACTGCTTTTGTCATTGTGCGTTTGGGCAGGGTAGAGTTAGCACTATTTGTCATCCAGTTTTTTGAGAGGTTGCTGGCCTTTCCTTTGAGAGGCTGCAAATATAAGACATAAATGGTCTGGTTTTGAGTAAGTCCTTGTGTTTACGAGTCCACCCCCACAGTGTTATCCTGTGTATGTTGGTGCATTTTCCTCTCTCTACCTTTTCCACTTTTGTGGTGCTAGACATTGACTGAAGGCCTTGCACGTGCCATGGTGTGCCCTCCCACTTAGCCCTGCCCAATGTTTTTTTTTTTGGTTTTACGAGACAGGGTTTCTCTGTTTTGGAGGCTGTCGGTCCAGCCTGGCCTCGAACTCACAGAGATCTGCCTGCCTCTGCCTCCTGAGTGCTGGGATTAAAGGCGTGCGCCACCAATGCCCGGCCTCTGCCCAATGTTTTTGAAGCACTCTCTATCCAAGTTATTTGCACCATGACAAAGCCTCCTCTTCTCCTTGGGTTTTTGTTGTTGTGGCATGGACTTTATATATCCCATTTTTTTCTTTGATGGACTTGGCTGGTAGCAAATGGCAAATGCTAGAAATGTGGCTTGAACAGTCTATTTATACCAAATGGCTCGGATATCACCAGAATCATGGCTTAAGCATTCATCCTGACATCTTAACTAGAGATTTTATATTTATTCTAGGTTGAATTCTGACTTATTTATTCCATTTCCCCCTTTTCCTTTCCTTTTTCTTAATCTTTATTGTGAATAGGACCAAGTGGTTCTTCTCATTTTCAAATATTTAATTCTTTGGTTGACATATGCTTTCTTTTGGGGAACTGGTTTGACATATTTCCTTAATTAGTTAGAAAGGCTGTTTTAGATTAGGGAAGGAAACATTTCTCCCATTCAGCAACTGAAGTCTATCTTATTGGCCCTGAAAGCAAGGATATAGAATTTAAAATGCACCCCAGATACTTCATGTGGAAGATTTGTTCAGTTGTTATGGGCTTAAAAGATGTTCCTAGAGAAGTGAAATGAAATAGCCAAGCAACAATTCCCTCTCAAAGGTAGGATAAAACAAAACAAGAGAAAGGTTAAGATAAGGAATAGTGAAATCTGGGATTCAAGTGCACGTGATGTCAAGGTGAAGATAGCAGAGCGTTGTTCAGAAGTCAGAGCCTGGGAAACACAAGGAGACGTAAAGGAACAGGACAGATGTGAGTAGAGGGAACTGAAAACTGCAAGTTGAGACTCATCGCTCTGTCCAAGGACTTTTGAGGAGCAGTGTGGGGAGCTTTCCAGCTTTGGGGACAGAGTGAGCAAGGCATGTTAGCTTTAGGGGTGTCCTTTTAAGATAAACATGGAAGAAATGGTTGAGAAGGTAAGTGGGGGGTTAAATTATGGATGAGCTAATGGATAGAAAAGAGTTGAGAACAAAAAAGAGAAAGAATTTGAATAAATGAAGGTTAGAGTGAACTGGAGGGAAAGAAATGTGATACTTTTTATTGTTGTCAGCACTATTAAAACTTTAAAATAGTAGCCTCTTGTAAAAGATGAGCTGGAAAGAATATATTGTGTATTTCCATGGTAAAATTGCTGCAGTTGAGTGGAAGTTAAGGTAGCTTATTTAGTAGAGAGAAAAAAGTAGATAAGGATGA